TATGTGAATGACAGAGGAAATTTATCTCATCACCCACATTAATGGCCCGAGGGCTTCAAAGCTTGGGCTGCATTTAAGAAGCTGGAGGAAGGCTCTAAGGGGGATAATTGAATTCCTGAGTGAGGAAGACAATAGTGATTATTTTCTGGATGACTAAAGGAACAAAAGTTTGTGGGCTTTAGATAAACAGATGACAAGAAGAGCCCATTTGAGATGCCAGATTTGCCAAGTAGAGCTCTCAGGGCTTAGACTTCTCTGAAAAGACAAACATCTTGGAGTGTTTATGTCTCAGGCTTCTGAGTGTGATTCTTAGATATGCCTTGGATTCTGGTACCCTGTCTTTAAACATTGCTGCCCAATTCTGCACTAACAGGATGGGAAGAACCTCCAGGGCTCACTACATTCGGGGACGTCAAACTGTTTTTAGTCAATGCCCAGATTAAAGAGAAAGAAATTGGACTCTTGACCATAATGATGGTGGCCATTATTCACTGAGAGCCTATGCATACTGAGCACTGTTACTTAACTACTCTATATTCATCACTTACTACTTCTCAGAACCATCCTATCAGGTCGCTGCTATTATCATCAAACGCACTTTTTTTGTGTGTGTGTGTGAGGAAGATCAGCCCTGAGCTAACATCTGATGCCAATTCTTCTCTTTTTTCTGAGGAAGACTGGCCCTGAGCTAATATCTGTGTCCATCTTCCTCTACTTTATATGGGACGCCAATACAGCATGTCCGACAAGCAGTGCGTCTGTGCGCGCCCGGGATCCAAACCGGCGAACCCTGGGCCGCCGCAGAGGAGCGCACGCACTTAATGGCTTGCGTCACCGGGCCGGCCCCCAAACCCAATTTTGAGATGAGGAAATGGGGCCTGGCTGACTTTAAGCAACAAGCCCAGAGTCAGGTAACTAACTGCAGCAAGTTTAGGATTAGAAGCCCGGTGGTTTGACTCCAGGGCCCACTTCTAACTACACTGTGCCTGCACTGCTAGATGAAGAAATCATTTGGTAGTGTTTATTCTGCAGCCCAGGCTTTGACTGTACATAGAAGCAAACATTACCTTAGAGAGTGAAGGGGATAATCCAGAGACAAAAGGAATGAAAGGAATCTAACTCAGAAACATTGTCCTTGCATGTATATAAAATACGAGATAATATAATCACGTCTCTGAAATGATTGACAGCTTAGCAAAATGGCCTAAACTTCTGTGAGTGAGTTTCTGTGGAATCCAGCTTGGAAGACCCATGTGTGATCCTGGCTTCCTCCTCTAGACAAGACTGAATCAATATCAACTGAATTGTTGACTGAATTAATATCAACCTGAAATGTTGACTGAATTAATATCAACCTGAAATGTTGAAGAGATGGTCCTGGTCTCTAAACTTGTTCTTCCCTCTAGGTGCTTAATAAATGTTTGGTGAATGAAACAATGAATGAATAAATGGATAAGTCCACCTGTGTTTCCTCATTGCTTCCTTAGTCTCACTATATCCCTTCTGCACTTGCTCCCCATTTCCTCGAGGGAGACAGAGTTCATACATAATCATAGCATTGGCTAAGATTTTAAAACTGCTCCCCAAGGCCTGATGTGAAACGCAAACTTGTCTGATCTTCAGAGTTCTCCATTAATCCCAGGTCTTTATCTGAACCGCCCCTACCCAAAAACCACCATTTGCTGTGTCAACAGTTACTCATGGCCATGAGCCTCTTTGCCCTTGTCAGTCCTTTTCCTTGGAGTGCTCTCCCTTACTCCTAATGTTAACATGTAGACGCTCAGAACCAGAAAGGACTTTGGGGATCAAGTCCGACCTCCTATCTAGAGCTGGAAACCTCTTCAGAACATCCTTGACCCACCATCAACCAAGTTCTGCTTTGAGAATGATCCTTCATTTGCCACTTAAAATTATTAAAAACATCTGTATTAAGAAACCTTCCTTCATTAGTTAATAAACTCATTCATTCATTCACTCATTTTTGTTTATCAGACATATTGAGTGCTTGTTACATGCCAGGAAATGTGCTGGGCCCTGGAGGATATGAAGATGAATAAGCCATGGTCCCTACTCGCTGCTCTTTAGAATCTAATAGACTGGATCTGCAGAAGAACAGATATGTGAGCCATTTACCATCATCCTCTAAGATACACCATCAGTGTGTGTACCAAATGCAATGCTGGGAAAGAAAAGCAAATAATTAATGATTCTTTTCAGGAGGAATGGGGCTTGGTCTAGAAAGACCTCACAGAGGAAGCACTGAAAAGCTAAATCTTAAAGGATGAGTCTGGAATATTTAGGTCAACAAGGTAGAATGAGGTCGGCATAGGGGTCTGGGAATCCCAAGCTTATTGTACACTGATAATTCTTCATATCATGTGACTTCAGTATACTGAATAATTTGTACCCACTGGAAGAGCATTTCATATATTGCCTGTGACTAGGTGAATTGGTCTAATCCTTTCAGAAAGCAATTTGGTAAAGTAAATCAAGAACCACACAATAGCCATACCTTAGATCTAGTAATCACATCTTTGGGAATCTATCTTGAGGAAATAATTACTAACTGTGGAAAAGATTACATATATGAAGATAACATATATTAATTCATTAAAATAGGGGAGATTTTGGGAAATGAGCCTCCAATACACTTCACTGGAAGACAGGTAGATAAACTATGGTACATTTATTAGAGGGATTATTTATTATGCAGCTATTTGTTTTGAATATTATATAACTTGGAAATATTTATTCATATAGTGCTAGCTGAAAAAAGAGAAACAAATGTGTGCATATGATCACAACTTTATTTTAAAGATCATATACACAACAAAAAGTGTGTAAGAAATGGCACCAAAATGCTAATAAAAGTTGAGCTTGAATGAGGGAAGTTTTGGGAGCCATGTTCCCTTCTTCTCTCTATTTTCCAACTTTCTTTTATATGGTTGTTTTGCTCCTTTATAATCTGTAAGTAGTTTTTGTTTGTTTTTTGTTTTTTTAATCTATGGAATGAATTTCACTCTCTACAATCTTGGTTGAACTTCTTCCAGAAATCACCAAGTTTCCTAGTTCTTGTTTTTCTCTTCTTCTCATTACTTTGTAAGTGCCCAAGTTTGAACACATAGTGGGTGTCTATTCAGTAATATAGTGGCTGACAAAGTACAACATATTCCCTATACTCTGCCTTCCTTGGGCCTCAAGATCATTAAGAGAAACAACACTTGACATGTAACACAGCTTTTGTATGTGCTAGACACTCTTCTAAGCACTTCATAGACATTAATTCATTCAATACAACAATCCATGAGGTAGATATTGTTATTATTTTTGTACAGCTAAAGCAAATTGAGACACATAAAGATTAGTCACTCACCCAAAGCTGTCCAGCTAGTTGGTATTAGAGCCAGAATTTGAACCCAGGGAGTATGGCCCAAGGGTCTCTGCTCTTATTCACTCAGAAGAGGAAGCTTTGAAATAGCCAGCCATCTGGATAGACAGGCAGACAGGCATGTAAAACCTACACAGATAATTGAGTGGTGGATGGGGGATTGGAATTGGAGGGTGGAATTTGAGAGATAGAGCTCAAGGATTTCTAATCTAACCCTCTTCCCAAACGGAGCCTCAGTCTCTGCCAGCAATTTCTTTCCAAGAGGGTGGCAGATATAGAATGACATTGAAATACGAGCAGTCCTCTCTGTGTAAATGTCAATTCAGTGTTGGAGAGGGTTAGAGGTAGCGCTTAGCTAAAGGTGGGAAGTGTAAAGGAAATATGTGTTTACATAAACTGGGTCTTGATAGTTTCTGTGCCTATTGTTCCTGACATAATGATTGTTTCTTCTCTAGTGAGTTTATTTAGATTACAAAGCTCAGGCTTTGTCTGGAATTTTAGATACCACAAAAATAGAACAGACCTTTTGTGGCCATCTAATCTAAACCCTGTCCACCCCTCTACTCTTAACATACATACACACATTCTTATAAACAGAAAAGATATAATATCCACTAGAAATAAAAAGTGAGGTACCTGGTGCATAGAGATGCAGTGGTGGCCTCCTATTAAAAGTGATTAACCAAAGGAGGCAGGAGCCATTATGCAAACACAATGATAAGTCCAATGATATTAAGTATTGAGTGATTCTTTTGTTGGATCTGATTGATACTTCTCCACACACTCTAGATTGAGTAAATGTTTAGATGATAGGTCCAACTTCTTGGACTTATGTTTTTAATTCATTGCTCCAAGTCTTGGAAAGAGGCTTCTCAAATATCCACCCCAATAAAATATCAGGATTATTCACAAATAGCCAAGAGTTTGAAGGCAGCTGTTCTAAGGTAGGACACTTCTCATAATGGAGAACTCATGGCTTCCAAACCACATCTGAAAAGATTGTGTTCTATCAGCTGGTACTACACGCACTCCTGCTTTCAAGCCTTATCCAAGAACAACCAGAGGCTCTGTATTGTAGACACCTACCCCCTACACAAAACATCCTCAACGTTTTTAGAGAAAATCTTCCATTTTACCCAGCCCCACCTAATCAGAGTGCAGGACTCTCCTATATTCTCCATGTCAAAGATGTACAAATCGTTGTCCCAAGCGTCATAAAACTACTTTACTCTTCCTTAATGGAAACTATATTCTTAAATTTCAGACTTTACCATTTCCCTTTCAGCTTTATTAATGATAGAAACCATGGGAAGGAATCTGTGAGACCAAACTTCTCATTTCCCCACAGATGAGGAGAAGAGGCCCAAGGAGAATAGGGCATCATCCTTGTATCAAGTTGGTGATAGAGTTGCTCCCAGTTCTCATTCCAGGGTACTTTCTGCCCCACCCTCCTCAACTTTCATGTGGCACTGAAGGTGACATTGTGTAACCATGAAGCCCCAGAAGGAGCAGAGGCTGCCCCAGTCATTACCCTAACCCCCTCCCTTCACCCCTCTCCCAGACCCCTTGTCTGAACCTTCCCCCAGTGGAAGGGAATATCATGGGATCTTACTCATTTCCATGTACTCTGGAGTCAGTCCAGTGTATGGTTCCAAGCTGTAGTCTAGGTCCCACTGCTCTGGATGCTTTGAATGGGCAGAGTCAGTTTCTCCAGGTTCTGTCTCATCTTTCAGCTTCCGAAATAGTTTCTTTAGCTTCCTGGGAAAGAAATGGACCAGTCACCAAAAACCTCTGGAGGATAGAGTTAGTTCTGTAGACAGACAGAAAGAAAAAACTAAATTTTGACACTAAACCCATTTCTGACTCAAAGACAGATAGAGGAACACTAATGAGACTACTTTTCTCTTAAAGACACCTGAGGAGGTTCTTTATCAGGATAATGAAAGGTTCCCCTCACAAAGGATCAGATTTATTCGAACCCAAAGAAACTGAATTCTTCCTGCTGTTTGATAAGCAACAAGAGAGTTGGCCCTTCCTGCCAAATACTGAGACCATCCTATCATCTAACAGGTGATCTATTCACCCTCTTCATGAGGAAGAAAGGATGTCCAGAAAGTAGTAGAAAGATGCTCTCCTCTCAGCTCAAAAATTTTCAGGTCTTAATAACATAAACAGCATCATATTTCCATTAAAGCCAAGCTAAACATTGTCTACCACTGCTATGGGTTGAAGTGTATCCCCTGAAAATTCATATGTTGAAGCTCCAACCCCCAATGTGACTGTATTTGGAGATAAGGATTTTAGGAGGTAATAAAGGTTAAACCACAAAGGTGGGGTCCTAATCCAACAGGATTGGTAGCCTTATAAGAAAGGAAGAGACAGTGATCTCTCTCTCTCCGCCATGTGAGGACACAGCGGGGAGGTGATCATCTGCAAGCCAAGAAGAGGGCCCTCACTAGAAACCAAATTCTGCCAGTTCTTGATCTTGGACTTTCCAGCCTCCAGAACTGTGAGAAAATAAATTGCTGTTGTTTAAGTCACCCAGTCTATGGTATTTTGTTATGGCAGTCCGAGTAGACTAAGTTAACCATATTCAGAATTTGTTTGGTCTAGAATGATAACAAGATAATAGTGGTCCAGCCTCTCAGGGTTGCTATGAGAATTAAGTGAAACAACATTTATACAATCCTTAGCACAATATCTGGACATAGTAAGCATTCAATAGATGATAGCTATTATTATTTTTAATATTAAATGCTAAAATATGCTTGAGGGTGTAGAATTTTCACACTTCCCATTGATACACAATAGGTGAAGGAGCAGGGTGCCAATTCTGCTAATCAATCTAAGAGAAAGTTTCTAGGAGATAAGCAGAGAACTAACAGCAGAAGAGTCAGAATCATAGACTTGAAGACTTTAAAGTGATTTTGAAATCCATGCTCCTTCCAAATGCAGGAATCCCTCAAACACATTCCTCACACAAGATCATCCAACCCCTGTGTAGCTATTTCCAAAGGAGCACTCGATATCATTAGGCATCTCAATCTATTGTTAGAGAGTGCTTCCAACAGTTAGTGGAAATCTAAGCATTCAAAATAATTTTTTGATCAGTGTCTTGTCTAATATCATTTGCCATCAAGAAGATGTCATATATTGTAGTGAGTAAAAGTCTGACCTTTGATGTCAGAAAACAGTTGTTTAAAACCCAGTTTCACAACTCACCAGCTATATTTTCTTGGGAGAGTTATTAAAACTCCATAAGCTTTAATTTTCTTATCTATAAGATGATAAAATAAATGTTAACTAGCCCACAGGGTCAGCTAAAGGAGATAATCTATGTAACATGCTTAACTTGGGACTTAGTACATGCTAAGAGCTCATAAATATATCTATCATTATCCCTATCATCATCATCACCATCACAGAGGATTTAAAGAATGAGTTGAGATCCATAGAAGCAGCAGTAAAATAAAATATTTTATAATAAAATAGCAAGCAATAATTCTGTGATAAGAAATTGAGAAAAACCTAGATGGAGCCTAAAGATTTTGAAGCCAAACAGTGTGGACTGGCTGAGACCTTGTCTGTGAGTCAGGACAGAAGGAGAGGATGAAGAAAAAAAATAAAGAAGAGAGAGAAAAGAAAAGAAGGAAGGAAAAGAAGGGAGGAAGAGAGGGAAAAAGGAAGAGGAGGTCTAGAACCAGAACCCAAATTGAGACTTTTCCTCCAGGTACTGGTAATCAGAAAACTTGTCCTAATCTTTAGCAAAGAATAATGAGTGCTTTTAATTAGACATGGAAAATTGAACACATGCTTATATCCCTATCCACTTCTGAAATGTTACTAAAATGACAGTGAATGAATTTAAAAATGTATAAAACCACAAGGTTAAAGAAAATAGTCATGAATACAGTAGTATATGAGAATTGTTAATAAATATCTTGGAAGATGGACAGTGGATGATGGATTTAGTAAAATTGTGATGGCTGAATACCAAGCGCCTATAGTGAAAGATGGCAGAGAAAAGCAAGCCAATAAATGCTGCAAAATTTCAAAAAGGCTCAGGAATTGCAGGCACCAGGTGTCACCAAAGGCAGGGGGTAGTGATGGATCAATGCACAGTTTAAGGAACAGTAGATCCTAATGCCTCTGTCCACGTATATTGCCCAGGTGACTATCACTTCCCAACACCAACAGGAGCAAAAACTTTATTCAGAGGAGAAAATGAACTGGGGAAATTCTAAATCTGAAATAAATGCAATAAAATGATAGGAAGTTAAAAATCCATAAACTCTCAGAAAAAAAAAATAGAACAAAAGACAAATAAATGGACAATAAGAAAGGAAAGATAAAAAAACTAATCAATCTAGGAACTCCAACATTTAACCAGAAAGAGAAGAGAGAGAAAATGATGGAAAATAAAATACAAACAAATATAAGAAAATGCTCCAGAGGTGAAGGACGTGCATTTTCTAATTAGAAGAACCTACTCAGCATAATGATCAAGAAGAAGAACCTCCACCAAAGCATATTACCATGAGATTTCAGAACTCTAGGAATAATGAAAAGGATTCTAAAAGCTTCCAGGTCTAGAGGGACAAACATAGATTCTCTAAACATTATTTGGAATCAAAAAGATATTAGAATTCTCAACAGCAGTCCTTGACACTAGAAAACTCCAGGAAAATGTGTTAACTTTGAGAAGGCAAATGATTTTTAGCATAGAGTTCTATACCCAGCCAAAGTATACATCAAGTGCAAAGGCAGAATAAAGACATTTTCAAACATGCAAAGTTTCCAAAAAGATATCCTTCTATGCATCCATTCTCATGATGTTCCTGGAGGTTGAATTTCACCAACCAAAGATACACAGCAAGAAAGAAAACAATACAGAATCCAGCAAACAAGGAATCCATCAGAAAAAGGAGGTTTTGGATTTAACTGGGATTGGTAACTGTCTAGAAGGTGTAGTGAACAAACAGTTCTGCTTTGAACAGGAGAATGAAGGGTTTCTAGAGGATGGTCTCCAGGAAAAGATAAATGTGACTACTAAGACATCTTATGTGTTTAATGAGGTAGTCTAGCTGGGAAAATGGACACAAACAAGGGTTACTGATAATGTGTAATAAGTATTATGAAGGAAGAAGTTTAGGTAATCATGAGAAAATAAAACAAAGAAACCTAACCTTACTTAAAGCAGAAGTTTTCCCCAAGGAAGAGATGTGTAAACCCAGATGATAGAAGAAGCCTGGGAAAGAGGGAGAGTGGTGTGACAGGTAAATGTGTGTTCTAGGCAGAGGGAATTATTTGTGCAACAGCCATAGGCAAACGTGAGAACGGCTCATAGAGGGGACTGAAAGGAGTTCAAAATGCTTGGAGCATAGAGTAGGAGAGAAAAAGTGATGAAAGATAAGACTTAAAAGGTAGTGCAAGTTCATGGCATCAAAGACCTTGTAAGCCATTTTATGCAGTGGTTCAGGTGAGAGATTATGGCAGCAGAGTCTAGGGTGATTGCAATGGACACCAAGAGATGTAGACAGATTGAGACATACTTAGGAGGTAGAGTTAAGAAGCTGGTGGTGAATTGTATGTAGGGGGAGGAGAATGAGGAACAAAGGATGATTCCCAGGGTCTTTGGGCATGCGTGTGTATGGTGGTACAGCTAGGATAGGGAACACTAGAGAAGATGAAGGAGAGGAGTTGTTGAGATGGAGGAGCCCATGGGACAACTAAGTAGGGACATATAGTAAGCAATTTTATATATGGGTCTAGAGCTTTGGAAACAGGTCTGTGTTGGAGCTAGAGATCTGAGAATAATCATAGAAAGAGCAACTGAAACCCTAGCAAAGACACCACCTGTGGATGGAGCAGAAGGGAAGGAATATCAGCAGTTAAGAAGGAAGAGGGAAAGGAGATTTCAAAGGGCAAGGAAGGAGCAGTCAAAGGAACAGAAGGCCACTGTGAGACTATGTGGCAAAGAAGGCAAGAGCAGAAGTGGGGCTTAGGGGATGACTTTGTGGTCAGCAGTGTACTCCACTGCGGGTAGGTCAAAAACAATGAGGGAAAAAAACATCCACAAATAATTCTTGTAAACCCCTCCTTCCCAGAAGTCTCCCTCCCGGAGATCTCAGCGACCTTTAAAAAAATTAATAGAGAAAGTCCCTCAAGAGTGGGATTTAACAGGAATCCTGCAAGTTGTATAACATACAGATGGGCCATTTGGAAAACTTCAGATTGTGATTCCGACCGTATGATGCACACGCTCGTTAAAACAACTCCTTTGATGTTACTCCCTTATCCTTTTCATCTGCTATTTTTCTGTCCCTTTTTAATGACAAGTCTGAGAAAGTCTGGCTGGAAGGCTCAGGGCCTTTCCTCTGCTTGTGTCCCATGGGCTCACTCTGAGACCTTGGTGACCGTCTGTCACACCTTGGGCCTCCCTGCCGCAGGAATCTGGGCCCCAGGCAGTTCTTCACAGACCCTGGCTCCACATGCCTCGAGCCCCATTAAAGAAGGCAGAACCAAGCCCTAAATGGGCCAAAGAGAGAAACACATCAAGCTCCGAGCTATGTATTCCTTTTCTTGACACCTGACAAAGTTCAAATTTGTTCCTTAAACTTTTGTCAAATGGCCAGATTCCACTGTATTTGAGAACACAGACCTCTGCCTGTGATGGCTTTAAAGAGAGACTGTTTTATGTCTTGAAATGTAACATTTATCACATGTCCCCAAAAAAGAAGAAAGTTTATAAAATCTTA